TATCGGGTTCGTGCTTTGCATACTGCTTTCGGGTGTGTGGTTGGGTTCCGAAGCTTCCGCATGAGTAACAATGGCTACAGCAGGCACGTGTGTACTCGGACTCCATTCGTTCACCTGCAAATGGGGTGGGAACACAATTACGGCGTTTTTATGTTGTGGACTATACTATACTGCGGTTGATCCGAAGCATATCTGCCAAAGATCGTGAGGGAGTTAATTCACGCTCCCCCACGGCAGCGCTCTTCTTCATTCCAGCTGCCTTTCAAACATCGTGGTTGTATTTTCGAAGGAATTAGTTGTCATTGCTGCTTGTGAAGAATTGCAGCATGAATCTAGATCTAACAGAGATTTGTTGTTGTTCTCCTGAACTCAACAGTTCTTTCCCTTGAGAGCCCTCTAAAACTGAGCGAGTCAAAAGTGTCTCCAAACCACATGTCAAACGGAAATTTTCGCCGCCGGACATCTAACAAACAGCTCTTATAACAGCGGTTGTGTGCACAGAATACCGAAGATAGGTTGTAGATATCTTCTGCGCTGAAATCCAACGCTGAGTGGCAGTACTTCTAAAAATGGTAGCACTTAATGAGGTGTAATCCTAAGAAAACAGAACACAGAGTTGATGTGCTCAGCCTTCAGGTGGCATTTCAGATTTTATGTGTTTTCCTAATCAAAGCAGAAGCAGATCTCGAAAATATCAACTATGATTACGCACAAAAGCGATACTTACTTACTTAGACTTAGTTCCTCCCGTGCTGTTGAGCACATCGGGCGACGAATTCTTTCCACTGTTGTCGGTCTTGCGCGATTTCCTCGGCCTGGTCCCTAGAAGCATTCATGATTCGCAAGTCATTTTCGAATGTACGTCTCCACGTGTTTCTGGGACGGCCTCGTGCTCGCTTGGCTCCTGGAGGAATCCAAAACATGGCCACTCTTGGGATTCGATGTTGTGGCATGCGCAATATGTGGCCAGCCAGTCGAAGCCTACGCCGTGCCACAATCACGTGAAGGCTGCTCATACCGCACCGTCGTAGAACTTCCTCATTCGTGACCCGGTCCATGTATCGTATCTTCATGATTCGCCGAAGACATCGCTGGTGGAAGGCGTTCATTTTTTGGCGAGCTTTGGCAGACACTTCCATGTTTCGCTTGCATAGAGTGCTGTGGGAATAACGATGGACGAGTAAAGTTTCATTTTAATGCTACGCGATATTGAGGACATTTTCCATATCGGCAGCAGTCGCCTGAACACAGCAGCAGCTTTTGCAAGTCGAGCCCGGACATCCGCTTCAGCATCACCAGTGTGCGTGACCACGCTACCGAGGTAAGTGAACGTGTCGACATTCTCTAGCGACGCAGTGTCAACGTTTACATCCACCTGCCCGCTCATTCCTACGTGCATGACCTTCGAATTCTCAGCACTTATCGCAAGCCAATCATGCTTGCTTCCTTACTGAGTCTCGTGGTGCTGTCTTGAAGTTTATCATTATCCTCAGCAATCAACGCAATGTCGTCGGCAAAGTCCAAGTCTGTGAGACGGCCTTGAACAGGCCAATTGATGCCCGCTTCTGCGTTTCCCATCGCTCTTCTCATAACAAAGTCGAGGCATACATTGAACAGAATCGGAGACAGAATGCATCCCTGTCGTACTCCAGTGGCAATTTCAAAGAATGGTGTATAGCCGACATTCGTTCTAACACAGCACGAAGAGTTGAGATACAAGTTCCTGAAGATGCTGATATAGGGCGAAGGTACACCATATAACTTGAGGATGGCCCAAAGCGATTCGCGGTGTATGCTATCGAATGCTTTTTGAAATCGACAAAATTTATGAAGAGAGGATGACGGAATTCCATGCACTGTTCGATTATGTTGCGCAAAGTGAAAATCTGTTCGCAACACGATCTTCCGCTTCTAAATCCGGCTTGCTCCTCTCTCAGTCGCTCGTCGATGGCTCCGCGTAGTCGCCGCAGCAATACCGTACAAAATACCTTTCCAGGCACAGACAGTAGCGAGATTCCCCTCCAATTACCGCATTCTGTCAAGTCTCCTTTTTTGGGCAATTTGACGATGACTCCTTTTCTCCAGTCTCTGGGACTTCTCTCCGAGTCCAGCATTCATTGAACAGTCAGCATTCATTGAACACGTTTGCCATGGGTCTTCCTCCTGCTTTTATCAACTCTGGTGCGATTTCGTCAAGACCAGGTGCTTTTTTGTTCCGAAGACATTTGATTGCTTGTTCCGTTTCTTCAACTGTTATGGAGCTGACGTCAACGTCAAGCTCATCACAGCCCTCTATCCCATCGAAGCAATGCGTTTCACTTGGTCTTGGTTGATTGAGAATATCGCGGAAGTATTGGAGCCACCTTTCGTTCTGCTCCTCGCCACTCAGAAGCAGTCTGCCGTTACTATCCTTGATGGGCACGTTGGAGTTATTCGAGTTCCCAGTCAGCTCACCGATAATGCGATAAAGAGTTCTCGAGTCTCCACGATCCGCCGCATGCTGGGCTTCAGCACCTTTCTGCGTGAGCCAATCCTTCTTGTCGCGGCGACAGAGCTTTTTCACCAGACGATCTAGCTCAGCGTATTTCCGACTCGCTTCCTGTAGTTCATCACGAGTCTTGGCTTGTTCTTTTTGGAGCTTCGCGTGCTTCCTCTCGTCTATTTTCTGCCACGTCCTGTCTTGAATGAATTGCTCTTTCCGCTTCCCTCGTCTTCGACCAACTGCGGCCTCGCACAATTTTTTCTCTGACTGCTTTCCATTTTTCTTCAATGCCATCCGCATTCGAACCATCTTCTAACGTGGCGAAACGGTTCCGCAGCTCCATGTTAAATGCTGCAGCAACTACAGGATTCTTCAGTCTTTCCACATCAAAAGCTCGGAGCGGTGACAGTCTTTCTCTGGCGCTTTAGCTTAATTTTGACTGCGGCTCTCACCAAGTAATGGTCTGAGCCAATATCTGCACCACGATATGCTCGAGCGTCCTGCAAGGATGATCTCCATTTCCGGCTTATACATATGTGGTCAATCTCATTGATCGTCATTCCGTCGGGAGAGCTCCATGTTTTCTTGTGAACCTCTCTATGCTGGAAGTAGGTGTTTCCAATACGAAGCTCGTTGTGATCGCAGAATGACGCCAACCGTTCGCCGTTGTCGCTGAAACGCGTGGAGGACGCAAACGGGCCAATCGTTCTCTCAAATCCTTGTCGTTCGCTGCATAACTGAGCATTGAAATCGCCTAGCACTATCTTGAGGTCTCTGCGGGGTAATTCATCGATAGTGTCTTGAAGCTGCTCGTAAAACTCGTCCTTGGCTTCGTCGCTCGCATCCTCAGTAGGTGCGTAGACTTGAATGACACTGATGCGAGTATGCCTGCTCAAGAATCGTGCCGTAATTATCCTCTCGCTTACTGGCTTCCATCCGACCAAGGCGTTAGTGGCTCTTCTGCTTAGAACAAATCCAACTCCTTTTTCGTGCTTTTCTTCATGGCCGGAATACAACACTGTTTTGTTATCACTCACGATGCGGCCACTGTTCAGCCATCGTACCTCACTTATTCCGAGTATATCCAGTCGATACTTGTCGAATTCTCGAAGAAGTTGTGCGAGGTTGCCAGTTCGATATAACGTGCGCACATTCCAGGTACCAATAAAAGTTTTGTTTTGGTGAGAAAACCGAACTTAGAATCAGGGCATCCGTCACGAGGCTAACATCCGATTTTCTCGATTCAACAGCTTTAACAGCTTTATCCTTATTCGTCGTTTCTTTAGCAAGTGATTTTTTTACAGTGGAAGGGTTGCTAGCCCTTCGCACCAACCCTCCTCCTTTCTCATCCGGACTTGGGACCGGCAACGGTGGAGTTACAAAAGCGATCACCTCGCAAAAAACACCTCCTATTGAAGTATCCTAATTCAAATGAAGTAAAGGGACACGTGGTCCCACAACGAAGTGGACGACTTGCACCAGTAAACTCGTCCGGCATTTTTTTCCGGGTGTAGGTTTGGGCGACAGTATAATCAGTGCGGAAAGGATATAAAAAAGTTCAACTTTCTGTTACTCCAATTCTTGCAAAGAATGCTCGAAATACGTACCAACAGTAGTAATCGAAAATGATTTGGGCACTATTCCAAATAGGTGAATGGCGATCAAGCGATTGCGACTCCATTGAATATGACATGTAGTTTTACCATGAGCCCAATTGCAGGAGCAACTCTGGGAAAGTGACAAATTCCTTTCTGCTTTTATGTGATGTCTCAAAAATTGGGTGTTCTGCAATGCACCACGGTAAAGAAGGCAGCTCGAAACAGCTCGGTGACTTATAATTTTGCATGTAACTAGTTCATCTGTTAAGATAATCTAAAAATAAAATTATATAAAATTATACAAAAACCCATAATCAATTTAGAAAGACACTCACTTGGGCACTCTTGGGAATTCGTGGTTTAACTAGTAGTACTGTTTAGATACTTAAATATGGAATATGAAAATGTAACAGATAACATAAAATACATGGAACTCTTCTCAGCAGATTTCACTGATATGTTTACTAACCTTCCACATACACATATATTACACAACATTAAAGAAATACTCAAAATTTGTTACAAAAACAGCAATAAAAAATACATAGCTAGCAATGGATATAAAATCTTCTATACAAACAACACAACATTCAAGAACTACAATTACTACTCTATCATAGACATAATATTCTTACTACACTATTTACTGAAAAACAGTTATTGCAGGTTTTCAGAATACTTGTTTATACAGAAAACAGGAGTACCACAAGGAAGTAATGTTAGCCCATTACTAGCTGATCTCATTGTCCTACTTTGAACACATCTATTCCATTAATCATTACAACTCAAATAAATTTGAAATCAAACCATATAGATACATGGATGACATTCTAACAATAATAATGATTGTGCAACGAATATTGTAAACAAACTTGAAGAAGTCTACCATAACATCCTAAAGCTTGAAGTTACAAACAACAATGAATACAATTGCTATTCATGATAATAAAATTGGTACAAAAATGTACAATAAAACAGACAGCTTCAACTTCTCCATTGAAAAATTTCCAAACTACAATACAAATATTTCATATCACATAAAATTTAACACTATATACAACTACTATGCTATTTTAACACTATGCAGAAATACTAAGAACAACACGTACATGCACCAACAAAAAAGATTTTATAGATAGATTAGAATACACACTTAAACAACTTATTGAATCAGGATACAACACAAATATATTCATAAGTAGCCTTATGAAATGTCTAATCAAAAACCCTTCTATAACATACAATTTAATTATAATTAATAAGTTCAACTTAGAAACCAAAAACCACAAAGAATTCAGCTACCTCTAAAAAAACACGATTTACGTAGATGAACATAAACTAAAAATGATCTAAGTGAGAACTATAGCCTAGTTTACAGAAACGAAGAAAATGCGATTTAAAACAACTTCCACAAAAATAGAGACAAAAATAGAATAAAGGTAAAAATAAAAACAAAAAATCAAGAAGGTTCTATTCGAGTAAAATAAATAAGATAGATAAGTAGTTACTCAAATGAGGATGAACAAAGTACAACATACAAGATTAATAATAAAAAAATAGAAACATTTAAACCAACGGAATAAAACCCCTTGATAAGTGATTTCAAGGACATCGTCAAAAATAATCACTAACTATAACTACCATATCACTAGTACTTACGAATAATATGATGAATAAGAACTTACCATGAACTATGCGGCGAAGGTGCACCAGCAACGTCAAGAAATGAAGTGAAAATGAACAAACAACACAAGCATGATAACATGTAATATCAAGTATTATCAAGTTAAGCCATGAATTCATTTCATTTACTTACATATCTTACTGGAGAGAAGCCGCTCCAACATAAATGGATTAGGATACCAATAACAAGCTATAGATAGGTCCAATTTTTGATTACTTAGTATTTATCATATAACATTTCGATTTAGTTATTAATGTAACTATCACTAATAATCTTTTTTCCTTCTCTTCCTTTTGAAAAATGGACACTATATATAATACACTCGAAATAGAATTTATCGTCATCTGTCATTATAAGATCACTAATTACAAACTAGTAGAACTAGCAGTAAAGAGAAACAAGTAACAATAGAAAAAAATGGAGCAAAATGCAATCACAATTAATAATTTTGAAATAGCAGAACATGTTAGAAGAAAGTTATGATCATGATTTTATTATAAATATAATTCAAAAATTATCCTATACAACTCATTATTCCTTCTTTCCCTTACTGACGAGCACAAAAGAAGGATATATAACTCGTTTGGTTTCCGTCTAAGGGCACGTGCGAAACGGAAACCAAACTACCTCCTTATATTGACCCCCATATGAATTGACCCCCATACAATAGTTAACTGCTAAATGTGTGGCCATCAGTTTGTCAAGTACATCACAACGCTACAATACCTTTCACTATACCAGATATTATAAATGTTCCCAGGAATCCTCACAGCTGTTCCTATGAAATTAACCAAAGGAAGCGTCACAATTGATTGATGCTGAAGGGATGGCACGCCTTCGTCCCACAACGAATGACATACAAATAGTTGCCGCAAAAGTTGGAAGGAGGTCTCGGAAAGCTCGTCCGTCGATTTTCCGGGGGCGGGGGCGCTTTAGGCGACACTTTGAAGGACAAGTTGGGCACTGAGCGAAACTCCTCCCCCTTGGCACGGCACTTTGTTTGCAGTCAACTAGCCTATGTGTATGATTCAGTGACCCATGATCCAATGAGATATTCAATTTCAGCAGCGTGATGGGATTATTACCGGTCAAGGAAGTCGAAGTGCACTCGGGATGGGTGGTCTGCCTGCACTGACACTTGCTCATAGTATGTATATTGACATTGTTGAATGTGAATAAAGAAGGCAAACTCAGTGTCGATGAATTTTGCATTGCTATGTAGTCAGACATAAGGAGAATAAGAAGCTCACTTACACCATAGACATGGTGTAAGTGAGCTTCTGCTTGAACTTTTCGCCTTCTTTCCCTTCAAACAATGCTCTTTACAGGCCGGTCATGCACTTGCCGGTCGAATGCTCCCGGATTTGGCACTAATGGATGGTCTCTCACAATTAGCTAGTAACTGTATTCAGTCAGAAACCGGCGCGCCCCAGTTCAGACGGCCTTGAAGCAGCACGAGGTGTGGTGTGGGCCGTTGCACTTGAAGCAAGAGTGACCCTTGCACTGGGTTGAAATATGATTGGGTGATCCTTGCACTGGGTTGAAATATGATTGGGTGATGCGCATATGAGGCATAGATTGTTGTCTCGCAGGTATGCTGACCTGTCAGTGGGTGTAGTGTACACTGTACAGTTGATAGCAGAGTGATTTCCACTACAGTACATACACCTTGCCCCTGCTGGCTGAGTGGGTCGTGTCTTCCCGTAGAAATTGCGTCCCTTCGGTCTTTCTGGACTTTTGTCCGTGAATAATATGAAGGCTTCTTCTGTGGATAAGATTTCATCGATAAACTTGATGAGGTGACTCATCGTGAATGGTACTCCGGTCGCCAGCCCTTGCCTTTTGTTGATGACCTTCCGCTTAGTTGAATCGGGAAATTTGGCGAGTACCTTCTTGATAAACCACGTACTATTGGTATCTTCCCCTTTGTCTGATAATTGACTGGTGATTGCTTGAAGCTGTTCGAGAAGGGAGCGTTGATCCTTTATTGAAGGACTGCGCAGCGTGCAAGATTCTAGCCTTTCGATTAGATGATTCATCAATTTTTCCTTATTGTTGTATTTGTTGAGGAGACATTCTATTGCTTTGGGTAGTTCTCCCTTGTGACTCTGAATTTCATGATGGATTCCCGAGCTTCTCCTTTGAGAGCATCTAGTAAGTAATTATATTTCACCATTTCAGGGAGGTTCGTTGAATTGATATTGTTGTTGAAATCTCCCAGAAGTTATCCCATTCCCATATATCCCCTGTGAAGGTTGGAACCGGAATGGGGGGTAGGTCCATCGTCCTGGGTTGTATAGGACCCCCTGGCAGCGTTGACACCTCTGTGGCTCCTGTTGCTGGAGATTGTGGTGTATTGTGATCGGTGCGCTGGGTGGCCTTTGACTTCAACGTTGCAGGCTGTGCACCCTCTCTTCCCATGGGATTCTGGGGTCCAGCGAGGTATTCTCTAGTTTCTCTTCCTTTATGCAACCAATTTCCTGCTCTAACTTCTTGAGAAAACTTGTTAACAAGCGTTTTCGGGTGGCCAATTGAGAGGTCATGGCTGCCAATGTTGTCCAATATTGAAATGTTGGGCATAGAAACTATGCTTTTAAAATAAAATTAAATCCGTTATTGCAAAAAGTTGCGGCCAGTTGAAATCCAGTAGTGAGGAAAAAACACTGCCGTGGAATTTAGACTACAGTAGAAGACGATATCGAACCGACCTGAGTCCTCAATTGTGGTTCAGTGGTGTATTGGTGTATTGCGCTGTGCAAGAAGGGGGACCTGTACGACATTGGCAATTATCGCCCAATCTGCCTGCTGTCTGTAGTCTACAAACTCTTCACACGAGTCATCCTGAACAGGATTGGCAGAACACTAGACGAAGGACAGCCATGCGAGCAAGCAGGGTTTCGAAGAGGATTCAGCACGATCGATCACATCCACACGGTAACGAAGCTCATCGAAGTATCGCGAGAGTACAAGATGCCGCTATGTCTCACGTTCATCGACTTGAAGAAAGCCTTCGACTCCGGAGACAGAAGCGGTTATCGAAGCCCTGGGCAACCAGGGTATTCCTACTCAGTACATCAGGATTCTTCGTGAGCTCTACAGCAACTTCACGACCAAGATCTCACCATTCTACAAGGAGATCATCATCGATGTGAAGAGAGGGGTCCAGGGCGACACCATCTCGCCCAAGCTCTTCAGCGCCTCTCTCGAGAACGTCATGCGTCAACTGGAATGGGAAGACATGGGAGTGAAGATCGACGGTCGGCAACTACACCATCTCCGCTTTGCTGACGACATCGTTTTGATAACACCAAACATCGAGCAAGCGGAACGAATGCTGGCTGAATTCGACTGCGCGTGTGGAAAAAATCGGTCTACGGCTGAATCTAACGAAGACGATGTTCATGAGAAACGGATTGGTTTCTGATGCCCCATTCACGCTCAACGGAACGACCATCTCTGAATGCTCTAGCTATGTGTACCTAGGTCGTGAAATCAATATGATGAATGACCTAGCTCCAGAGCTGAGCAGGAGGAAGCGAGCGGCTTGGGGAGCCTTCAAGAACATCGAGGGAGTAGCGAAGAAGACGAAGAACACCAAGCTCCGTGCCCACCTCTTCGATTCCGCGGTCCTTCCTGCCTTGACGTACGCCTCAGAGACTTGGACTCTACGAAAGCAGAGCATGCGGTCGGCGTTATTCAACGCGCCATCGAAAGGGCGATGCTCGGAGTTTCCCGCTACACGCAAGTGAGAGAGGGAATCCGGAGCTCCGCACTCCGCCGACGATCGAAGATCAGAGACGCCGCCGCATTTGCCAAGGTTTCGAAGATCAGGTGGGCCGGGCACGTCATGCGTTTCGAGGACGACCGCTGGACCAGAGCGATCACCGACTGGATTCCACGGGATGTCAAGCGAACG